GCTCCCCCCTCTCTTTGCCTCCTCTGTCTATCTTTCCTGTGGCAGAGGACTGATGCTGTGACTTAGTGAGGACAATCCATTTTAAGAGCCATTACAAAACAGACCTCTAACGATACTGAGGAACAAAAAGTGGGTCCAATTAAAATTAAATCAATGAATACCATCCTTACGGGGAGAAAAAAACACACACCCATACTTTCATTTTTCTTTTGAAAGATAACCACAATACATTTCACAGAGAGATGTAATGGGGGGAAAATACATGCTCAACTGCAAGTACTTATTTCAATCAATTTCCCGGAGCTGGATTTCACAGGTCACTTGCTGATAACACGCTGTGGAATAATGCCACAGTGTGCTTCTCAAAGCCTACCTGACAAGCTGCCTGACAGTGGGGGAGTGCGAGCACGTGTCACGTCAGCCCTCTAATTGGACACAAGGACCTTCCTCCGTGGAACCTTGTCGCGCTCCACACAAGCTCACAAGGCCTTCAAACCAGGCCCATCTAACTTGGCAACGAGTGTCTGCTCCACTCCTGTGGAGCTAGTGCTAAATACCAGAGTTGTAATGAGACAGGCAGGTATGGGGATATGGCTAGTGGATAACATGCTTTGACACATGCTAAAACTGTTGTGCCAACTGGTTACAACCCACTTGACTGTGGCGATGACATTTATAAATGCCTATGTCATCTCTTCTCATTGTAGCACTTCATACAGTAAGGGGGAATTTATAAAACCAAAAAAAAAAAGGCTGTTTTAAAATAATCTAAAAAGCTGTGCGGTGTAGGTTTCTAGATTGTAAATATACAAGTCCTATAAGGAGTATGCGGCAAGTGTTTGTAAGTTGTCCTCAAAAAGCTGATCTGTTTACATACCTCCTTGAATGCCTTTGATTATAGCATATCTTTGCTGTAGGTCACACCCCGTCACTGACCAGCAACCGGCCGAGTACCAAACCCAACCCTGCAGGACAGGAAATGAAAAGGAAGCCCTCCATCTGATCAGCTTGTGAGTCTGGGACTTCAAAGTGACGGCAGGGCGGAGAGGAGACGTAAGGATAGGCCCAATTCACTAGCTGGACAACACAAGGCCCTATCTGATGTGCTCCGATAAAGACGTCTGTGTTTGTTTATTTAATTTTTTTTGTGGAGGGGAGAAGGAGGCTCCAAGACTACATAACATTTTGTTCCTCTTTCTAAGAGTGGAAGAGGAAGTGAGTTTAATTTTGGATTTAAGGACTAGATATCACTATTTATATCTCTGATTTGCTGCACATGAAGCTTCGCTGGCTTAGTTTGTGGAGGACAACCACTCTACATGCATACAAGACAGAATTTAGGATTGTTTTTCCCCCCACACATTCATAAAGTGAGATATTGTCGCTGAAGCGTATCTATAAAGACACCTCACTTCTGCACTATCACCATCTTCCTTTTCCATCCCTTACAGGGCTGACATTTCTTGATCTCCACCAGTATTGAGTGAAGCACACATGACCCCTTTGTCCTTATGTTGATGAATGACTGCCTCATACCCATTTTGTCAGATTTTGGTGCAGTGGAGTCGATAGCGTCACCTTGACGAGGAAAGTTTGTGATCCATCAGCCCTCAAGGCTGTCTGGCCACAACTAAGGCCTGGCAAGAACAGCTCACTGTATGGGGCATCTCCTTCATCCAAAATCCTTCACCCAGTGTGCTGCAGTCTTGTGAGGTCGAACGAATGGCTCTTATTACTGCCGCTTTACAGTGAGAAAAAAAAAGGGGGAGAAAAAACACTTGACTTGTACTAATAGCTGAGAAGCCATACTGGTCACCAAAGGTCTGAAGACGAAGCACCCTGTCAGTGCCCAGCTTGGGAAATTAGCAAATAATGTTCCCTTCCCCCTGACAAATGTGTGACAGCTCGCCTTCGCCAATCATTCTCTCCTAACGTTATGATGCATGTCCCGGATCCCCACTGGAGGATACAGGCGAAGTTTACTGACCCTCAATTTACCCATGACAAATGGGGTCCCGGTAAATGTGCGTTTTCTGGGGCGCGGAAGGGGTTCATTTTAAGCAATCCTGGTTATGTGGATGTCACTGATTAGGATAAATAGTGGCTGAGTGTGTTAGGACTGCTTGCAGAACCATATTACCAAGGGCCTGCATCGTTGCCCCTGGAGGGGAGCTCTCATGGAAACTTGGCCAAGATAGAAAACCAAAAGCTCTGATGCAATTAGGAGCTTAAATTGGATAAATTGTACGGTCAAGTTTTTATTTATGATTTACTCTTTCATACAGTTCTGTAACTGCGCGGTAAAAAGGTTACGATGCTGCAAATGAGGCTGAAAATTGCGACTTTTTTTTTGTTCAAAAATATTTGATCAAACCAGCATGTACTATTTCCAGTGCCTAATAAAGTGTAAAGTATAATAAAGTATCGACTCAGGTGCAGCCAGGACTTTCTCCTTTTGATTTTCTACAACCTTGCTGACAGTTGGTTCTACCAGTCCTGTCCTGACCAATGGATAACCAATACATGGATTAGACAGAGGACAAGCTAGCAAGCTCCAAGGGACAACACACTCTTCGGAGGTAAAAGGTATAGACTGTAAAAATAGCAAAAATAGGCAACGTGTCATTCCTTTAAAAATGTTCCAATTAAAGAGCAGATATAAGCTCCTTGAAGCAGTCAGTAACTACATCCTACTAAAGTTTTATATAGTATGTCTGCTTGTCTCATTAGTGTTTTAAACATTCAATAGTCGATGCCAACAGGCTTATTTGACATACACTACGGGGTGCTCTCTTTCTGAGAATGGATTGTGAGTTTTGGAGCCGTTCCAGGGTGCTAACCTGAGTGAGGACGTGTCCCTCTGCTGTTCGAATTGACTGCAGTCTCCTCTGTGTTGACTTTTGGTAATTTGTGATAATTTCTTAAATTGAGCGAGTTAAATCTCCACAATTAGGGTGGTGGTGCAAGAAGAGTCAACATGAAGAAAAAAAAAGTCTAAAAAGGCACTCCTCTCAAGCCATGCTCTCAAGTCACGCTTGAAGCTATGAGCTTTGATAACTAGACCTTTGATATGCACATGCTGCTCTCCAATATGACACTGGAACATTCTGTGCCTTTTAGACAGCACCGTGTCACTACATGCCCTTTTCGGCCCACGTAATGTGCTATTGTAACTCCGGGGTCATTTCAAATCTATTTGCTCATGTAGTGCCATTTGTTCAAGTGCTGTAACGCGGAAAGAAAAGCTATGGTTTGAAATGAGCTGTTTCATTCTTAAATACATGATCCACTCTCCTGCGCTCAATGCGTCAGCCAATTCACATTTTAATGTCTGGAAGAAGTGGGTAACATCATTTTACCTCGCAATTACTGTACATATGGAATCAGTGATACCTAATTCTGGCGTTATGCGTTCCGCTTCTCTTTAACGGTTTCATTCTCTCAAGCGTCAACCCCTTGTACAATCAGGGTGAGCCACACAGGGAATAGCAGAGCAGAGGAGCCGGACCTGTCTATTGGTGACTTTCTCTTTTAATTCACCGCACTAATCAATTGTACCACCGTTGCCTCCAGGGGTAATTGTATCTTTATACTAACTGGAAGTGAGTAGGAACCCAGAGAAGACAGAGAGGAAGAATGGGGAGGTGGGGGGGGAGAGAAAAATCAACAAAGATAGAGAGAAGGGGACACGTTTCCCCAGTAAAACCTGATGGTAATCATCCCAATCCGCTTAGCCTCTGTGACTAATGGGGTCTGTTCTTAAGGGACCTGGCACTTTCACTAGGGTGCTATAGAAGCCATTAATGTCTTAACTTATACACCTTCTCAGGGCTGTGCAGTAACACATGTACACACACACACGCTCGCGCACACTTTCTCCCCCTCACTCACTCTCACACAAATAGACACACATACACTTACGCAGCCACACTACACTCCTGTTTCATTATCCCGGTGCCTTGTTGGCCTCTGCTCTGCTCCTGCTAGGGAGGTTAAATGCAGGAGAGCTGGGCCAGACTGCACGGTTGGAAGAGAAGGGGACGGATAGCTGGGGGTGGTAGCAGTGGTGGTGGAGGTGGAGGTTTGGGGAGTGAGAGAGAGGGGGGACTTGATGAGAAACAGCTGCCCCAGGATGGAGGGGTCTGGATGGGGATTTCGTGGGGTGGGAGCAGGGAAGGAAAGGGGAGGCGGGAGGGGGGGTATCCAGCACAGCTCTGGCCTTGCTGTGCTCAAGGCCGGGCCTGTGCTGGAGGCCTGGGAGCGCTGGTGGAGGGGGGGACGGGGACGTGAGAGCACCCCTGTTTCATTCTGCCCATCAGAGTTAGAACAGACAGAGGCTTCCAGGTCAGACAGGCTCTGACCTCCGCAACCTCTGTCTCCTCACCAATGATGACAGATAAGACCACCACTTCCTTCTGTTAGCCAAGATAATCAGATCCTTTACTCAGAGTGTGACACACACACACACACTCTCCCTTTCTCTCTCCAACACCACATCCCTCCCGCGTCTTCGCACACTTTCTCTCCAGTGAATTGGCGCACATGAGAATAACCTCAGACACGTTCGTGCACTTAACCTAGATATCGCTCCTCTAATCTGAGTCATAAAAAAATTGAGCCACTTTTTTTTTTTTTTTTTGCGTACAAAATCAGCAAATTAGGAGAACGCATTATCTGTCTCGCTAAAGTATAGATAAAGAGAACTGGCAGAATGAGGTATCCTGACAGCTTGAGTTTAACAGAGCTTGGCAACGCCCTTGTATGATGGCAGGTCAGAGGGGGATCGAGTTGCACTTGTAGGAGCCCCTCCGCGAAACAGCTTTTCACTAGCGGTGCAGATCTCACACATTTAACATTCAGCAAGCGGGGCCCTGGTTAGTTCATTATTAGTGCCTGGACTCAGGGCTGAGGGCTCCATCCAAAGAGAGGGGAGGAAGGGTGGGAGGTACAGCAGAAGCCTGTAGAAAAAAGACAGGGGGAAAGAGAAGGTTTTGACTCACCAGTATAGACGAATCTCCCAGGGGCACCTTTGCAGAACTGCTTGGACTTGTAGGACAGCGTGACTTCCACAACGCCGGGGATGTGCCGAGGCGGAGTCTGGACGCGGATGGCGTGGGGAGTTATCAGCTGGATTACAGGGGAAAAAGAAAAGAAATAATGAGCCCTCTGGAATAACAAGCAACAGGGCATGTACTGTTGTCTTAGCAGTTCTGAAGTTTTTAAATACTTTAAAACAGATGTCGTAAAAAGCTTTAGTTGAATTTTAGTCGAATATGAAATCTAAAATCCCACATCGTACCTCGCTCCATACAAGCATGGTGCCGAACACAACTTGTAGGCCATCAAAGAAGTTGTCCCCTATGATGATGACAGTGGCTCCTCCAGTGGTCCATCCCTCGCTGGGGCTGATAGCCTTGATGCATGGGGTGGCTGCTTATCCAAGACAAAGAGAAGAGCAAATTCAGCACCTAGGCTTTAACACTCGGGCGCATGTCTCTTTCCACTCAGACACATTACGGCATCACCTCCACGTTCAGCTCCCCATGTCTCTCTCACAAAGACATATCATGGAAATTGCCCCTGGAAAAAAAAAATGATGGATTTGTCCTTTAAGTCATGAGAATCAAAATCATTTATCAGCGCGCTGGAGTGGTGTAGTTAAGCAGACCCTTCAAATGGTCCACTTCACAAAGGCTAAACGCCAGGCTCGCCAGGAAAATGATTTGATGGAGCAAATTATGTGTCAGGGCAAATGTAGCTATCAGAATTGATTAAGCATGCACCCGCAAGTACAGTAAAATTTCAAAGTTGAACACATCTTAAATGAGTCAAGAATACAGGCTGTTAAAGTGGAAATGACAAGCTAAAGCTTTGCTGGTTCATGTTATTTCATTACCTTTGTTCTGAATGTGCAGTACAGTGCCGGCACACTGAGTGTAGTTTCAGGTTTCATAACGTGAAATGCACTCATGAATTATTCAGATTGAGTTTTTTTTTTTTTTCTTTCTTTCTTTTTGTGATCGATTCAATCCATTTCATATTGTTTATTACAATGCTTTTCATCTGGCATGACTTCTGCTACGTAGCTCCGCCATTCATCAACAGTCTGGGTTGTTATTATAATCTAATTTGAGTGATCTGGTGCCTCACATTCACTGTCATTTGATGCATTACCTTAATATGTTGTTCAGCACAACACCGTGTTTACAACAGAAATAGCATGACAGCTAGCCATAAAATAGCAATATCAAATTTAATCTATTTCCATCAATATCTTTTAATACACTATGAATTGTGCATGTTTTTCCTACTCCTCAAAATGTGAGCAACTATTTCAGCAAGTTCCTTTTTTTTTTTTTTTCCCTCTCTCACTCTCTCTCTCTCTCTCTCTTTACAAGCTCAGTTCTAAACCTCTATTATCCTTTCCATCCAGTAAGTAAATCACAGTCAGCCATTGTTGTATGGATCACCTCAGACAAGACATCTCCCTTTGTTTGCCTTGCTGTTGGGTCTGTTCAGGTCATGTTTGCTCTCTCTCCCTGCCCATAAAGTGCACACACACACATTGGTACTACAGGGAATCTGACTTTAACAGGCGCTGTTGACTTCATGCTAATCACCTCGTACAGATTTTCATTTGTGAGGCCTGGAGGAGTGACATTTGCTTTCCTTAATTGCGAAGCAGAGCGTCTGAAAGAGGACCAACCCTCTATGGGCATGCTGGGCCCCCTCTAAGGGCCTGACCTTCATCAGTGCGGACGATTACAGCAAATAATTCACCCTTCAAAATTACTGTAAACAAATTGACTTTGGGGATGAGAGAGAGGGAGGGGGGGGCAGAAAGGAGGAGGAGGAGGAGGAGGAGGAGGAGGCAAAGAAGAGGGCCTGATGGTGACGGTGACTGTTGGGGGGCAGCTGCAGCCTGAAAACCTACGACAGGCATACACAATCACACACACACACACACACACACACACAGACGCACCACCTCGGAAATCCCAGTGCCCCCTCCCACACACAGAAGGACCCATGGAGAGGCAGCGACTGAGGCCCTAAGCCGTCCACCCTTCTGCTTGAAAATTTGCATATGTCTCAATGCACAGACAGAGAGGGGAGCATGTGCTGAATGGGGACCGTGGCGAAGTGGATTACATAGTCAGTGCAGGCGATCTGATGACAGACACGCACAATGCCCCCCTCAGCAGATGATAGGCATCATGAGGAGTGGACGGATGAGGATGCAAAGAGGCCGGCCCGAGTGTTGCATCACTAAGTGTTTGCAAACTTTGGGCCACAGTTGAGGAGATTAACTCAATTTTAATTCACGGCTTTTTTTATTTTTTTATTTTTTTTAATCTTATTTTTATTTTTCAAATTTTGTCGTGCAGAATCGCTCCCCTTTCAAATTTCTGTTTGCGCGCTTGAATTTATTTCAAGATTCCCCGCGCCGCGAAACGACCGCAGGCCGCCGATCTGTGATCTGTTCTAATCTTTTTCTCTCTCTGGTTGGGGTTAGCCGCGGAGGACGTCAAAACTGATCCGAGATCTGAGCAGAGGAGGTCCTAGCTCTAGTATTGTGACACTCAAACAGGTCTGATGTGGCCCCGTGAAGCCGTCCTTTGTTCTGCCTGCTGAAATGTGTTGTAATTGTGCTGTGGGATGTCCAGATGGTCGGTTGATAGTGCAGCTGATGGGATTATACCTTTTACCTCTCCCTGGGCCATCTGTTCCCTTTGACTCTCTCTCTCTCTTTCTCTCTCCCTCCCTCACTCTCAGCCTCTCTCTCTCACACTCTCTCCTTCTCGTTCTCCTTTTCCTCCTCTCCTTTTTCCCCCCTTCTTTTCTCCTTCTCTTTCTTCCTCTTAGGCCCGGCAGTCTGGATTCACTTGTCTTTATTGCATAAACCCTAACAGCATTACAGCCACTTGGCATGCAAATGAGGCAGGCGCTGCAGGCTCTATGCTGAGTCTCCTATATTGTCTGGGGCTCTATAATGGTGGAACTGAGCTAAGGAACGTGTGTGTGTGTGTGTGTGTATGAGTTTGTGTGTGTGTGTGAATAAGAGATAGATTCTGTGTGTGTCGGTGCTGCGTTGTTCGTGTGTGTGTGTCTGCATGTGTGTGTGTGTGGTGGGGGGTGATGCTGTGTGTGAAAGACTCAGCTATTTGTGAGCATGTTTATGCACCTTTGAGCCTGAATCTATACATGTTTGAGTGACAGGCAGCCACAAAGCACATTCGTGTCTGAATGCATAATATGCTTGTTGTGTGACAGTACACACAAGTGAACAAAAATGTCACATGGCGAGATTCGGTCTGTCATCGACCGGCAGTGCCCTGGCTGCACCAATAGGGGGCAGCACTTCTTGATCAATGGGAGGCGGTGTGTGTGTGCAAGTGCAGCCTGAGCCCAGAGGAAGGATGCCTGCCTCTCTCCCTCTCTCCCTCTCTCTCTCTCTCTCTCTCTCTGTTTCAGCCAGCCACATATCTGAGGCTTCTCGCCCAGTGAACTCCCGAGGAAGAATGTGTTGCTAATTTAAAGCACGCTGTCTGTCTGTCTGCCTGCTAGTTGTCAAAGCACTATGGAGGACATGGCTGGAATTACATTTTATGACCGGGTCTCCTTTTCTCATGTGTCACATCTCTGTTTGTTAAAGGTGACTCAAACAAAGTGAGCAATCGCTGTTGATGCATGTTAAATTAGTTTGTTATGGAGCTGAGCCTGGGAGGGAGAGAGAGAGGGGAAAAGAAAAAACAAAAAAAACAAAACAGATCTCGACTTGTGAGAGCACACGCGGTTAAGCAGAGGGAAGGTGTATTAAAGTTATTAGACAAAGACATGTTCAACTGGGCGGTTGACAATAGCTTCGTTTCTTGCTTTACGGGGCGTCACTCTGCCGCTTTGAAGAGTGTGGTGAAGAGAGGAATAAAAGGATGGGTTGGGGTAACCTGTAAAGAACACAAGCGCACACACACACACACACATGCATAGACACACACGCACAAAACACAGGGGGTCCCGCGGGAGCTGGGGAACATGGAGGCGAGGGCTCAACCTCTTTAATTGCTCTCCTCATTAAGAAACTGGTTGCTAGGCGATCCACACCTATCGTGTCATAAACGTGAAACACACAAACAGAACGTCAGCGAACATAATGACTTTGGTGCTCCGGGCAGGACTTTAATTATTTGATTTTGTTCTCCAGTAGAGGAGTCATTAATAAAGACAAAAACAAATAGATTAGCTTTTTCCCCCACTAGGACTGGAGAGCACTGAGATATATTAATTGTCTAGTCCTTTTTTTTTTTCCTGTATTAGTCGTTGTTGTATTAAACATTACATTTGCTTTTGGTGATAGAACCATTAATGCCCATTAATGTGTAGAGGAGCTTGTTTTAGTCAGTGGTGTATATAAACTGTTTGCCCAGCCATAATTGGCTCTTGAAATCTGAAGATAAGCAATTTGCACAACTGGCCCAAGTCAGTTCACTTCTTTTTTCTTTTTCTTACAATCTTTCAGCTGCGTGCGCTCCCATCTGCAAGTGGAGGCCACGAGGGTCAAAAGGTTATGTTTAGTGCATTTTACTTTTTGGATTTCCCATGGTTTGGTGGTCCTTCTTTTCTCTCTTTTGGCTGAGAAGGCAATCAGTCTATCATATGGAATCAGTTGGAAGAAAAACAGTAAGTTCTGTTTTTCTCATAGGCCACCCCCCCCCCACCAAAAAAAACCCCTCACACACACACACATGCATGCGCACACACACACACCATCAACCCACCCTCACCTCCTCCTCCTCCTCCTCCCCCCCTCCTTTCTGTCTTTCTCCTTCCTCCCCCCTGTTTCAGCTCTCTCACAGCTAAATCTGCAGAACCCAATGGCAGGAAATTGACCTCACAGCCAAATTCTTCAGCAATTTGATCATGTTTCACATAAGCTTTTAGGACAAATGTAGGTGCATTAGGAGACTGGAAGTAGTATAACATTTTTCGAAATCATAAATTAGTCCGATTATCGTCGTCGTCGGTGGCGATGCTGAAATGATAAACACACGGGGCGATGCATACCATTTCCAGTCAAGCCGTAAAAGTGGGCATGAGGGAGGCAAAAAGCAAAGTAAAAAGTTTTAAAAAATGGAAGTGATGGAGGAACAAAAGATCGTAAGGAACTAGAAGCGACTAGGTTGTGTGATCTAAAAAATAAAAAATAAAAAATGGGAGGATGTCTGAAAGAGGAAAAAAAAAAAAAAAAAAGAGCGTAGCAAATTATAAGATGTAAAAATGTGCCTACCATTCTCCAGATAAGGAGGCGTACCTTCTGAAGGGTCGAGTCTGCGAGCCCTTCGCCCATGCTTGGAATTGTTGTGTACGAACATGTTGTCAGAGACAGCCAAGACATGGCCGTCCACATTGACGGTCGTCGATACGACAACCTGCAATAGGAGTGAAAGTGAGACGAATGTAAGACAAAAAAATTAAGGTAGAGAAACAGCTTAATTACGGGATACGGGAAGGCTTTAGAAATCCTGTTGTGTCCAGGTACATGCCTCGGCGCTATTGATTACTATTGTCAAACCTTTTGAAGTGGTTGTACTCTTTGGACATATCGCATTACAGTTACCTCGCTTCTCAGCCATTTTGTCTTTGCTTTTTAGTGTCTCGCATTTGTGTACAGCTAATTGACTTTTCGATCACTAAAATACCATTTCCGTTTACCCACTCTACCAACTGTCATCATAGCTGAAGCTCGGAATTATTGATCAGCTTGTCCATCTGTTTGAGGATGGAAGGCCTCCCTTTTAAAATGTTACTGGAGTCATTAGCAACTGAACCGTGCTCCATCCCATCACTCAACAAACATTTTACTAGGATCAAATTCCAAGCCACACTCCATATTTCATAATGCTTATTTTTGTTGTTGTTTTTTGGCTACCGCATTCCAAACAGCGAGCCCGCATGTGAATGGCCAAAGTGTTTCTGAGCCGGAAACAGAGAGCCCCTCTCAGGTTTGCTTCGCCGGTAAGTGACCTCGGTGTAGCAGTGGAATTTAGGGGGGCGCTTTTTTTTTTTTTTTTTTTTTTTTGGTTGGTTTGGGAAAGGGTGGGGGTGTAGGGGGGAGAGAAGGGGGAAGTGAAAGAGCTCCATTCTTGTGAGCAGGTTCAGAGCTGGGCCAAGCTGAGGATGATGGATTGGGCCCTTTCTGGCCTCCAGCTGGTTTTGGGGGGTAATAAGTAGAGTGGAAGGCATGCAAAATACACAACTTTGGCCAGAGAAACACCTATGGCGGAGCATCTGGGAAATCTATTTGAGAGCAATGGGATACTAACTGTTGGACAGCAGAAAAGACAACAACAATAAAAAAAAAAATCCTAAATCTAGTTGTTTTAAATACAATATAGCTTCACAAAAAAAAAAGACTGATGCTAAAACTTAGTTCTTGCATTCCTTTTGACACCGAGAAGTGAAAGGTGAAAGCCCTTGGTGGCTGTCATGCATCAGTCCACATTCACCCTGAGGGAAGATTTGAGGAGGCAGGGGAGGTCTGATGGTGGTGACATCAGGAGGGGACACCCTGTCTTGTCTGTTTCATGTCTGGGCTTCCTCCTGGAGGATGCCTGGCTTATGTGTCTATCACAGAACAGTGCTGCCAGTGACGGACGCCCTCCTGTAGTTTGTCGTTACCCTGATAGGACAAATCACACTAAACTCTCACTGTCTCACCTTGACCTTGTGGGCTGCTTGTGGTGAAAATGTCTGGCTAGGATGGATGGGCGATTGGATAAATGGATCAGCAGGAGGGGGGGGGTCAATAATTTTAAGACTCGCCTACTTGACACTTTAGATGCGAGAGGGTTAAAGAAACAGTAAAAGTGCTCAGTGGTCATGTCCTGTTAGTGTAAATCGTAGCGTTTTGTCAGCTCGCACTAGTGATGGTTTTCAGATGGCTTAAGGTGGTTTTCATTGGTTATATAGAGAGCTGCATATGTGTGACATTAAGTGTATGCATATGTGGTTAAGAATGAGAGAGGGATATAGAGAAAGCAAACATATGCGCCGCTAGCGTGTATGTGCACGCATCCATATGTGTGCGTGCGTCTCCGTGTGTGTGCTTGCGCATATGTGTGTGCAAGAAGGTATGCGTTTCCGCTGCCAGACAGATCCTGAGTTAACACTGTTGTTACATGTGGTTGGATCGTCCTCCCCTCTGCGCTAAGGCTCAGAAAGCTGTCAGGAACACAATTGATGGCACTCTTAAATCCTATATCCTTATTTGTGTCAGATGGTATTCCCTAATAAATATTCTGTCCAGAGCACACAGGACACAAAATCCCTGTCTTTCTTTTTTTCTGGTTTTTGCCTCCTTCAGTGCCAATAATAAAATGTATTCATATGTGAATCTGTGTCACTGTGACTTAGTGTAGTGTAGCAGCTGTAGTTGTGCATTTTGCACACCTGTGTGTATGTGTGCGTCTGCAAAAAAAAAGGGGGAGAGTAAGACAGTGAAAGACGGAGACAGAAATAGACAGAGCATATGTGTGAAATAGATTTTAGTCACCTGGAATCTGCGCATGTCTCGTGGATTCCCTGCATTCTTCAGACAGTTCTGATTGCACTTGAGAAAGAACTTAAGGAAGAATCTGCAAGAGAACACACACAAAAAAAGCAAACTGTTAAAGCTAACATGTCAAATTGCAAATTGATGGAATATTTAAATTAGAATCCTCAAACACTCTGACCTTTCGCATTCATTCGTTCATTCATTCATCACGTCAGGCAGAAACCGATGTGACACCGTTTCAGATTGGGAAGTCAGTCTCTTTATTATTCTTTCAAAATCAAGATCGTCTTTTTTTGTGATCTCATCCTCTCACCTGAGTTCATGGGTCTTTCCCAACACCCATCTGCCACTAACATACAGGAAGTCACTTGATATTCCACCCACCTCTTTAATCCCAGGACACCCCCTGTGCAATTAAAGTTCTCCTGTTCAATAGGGAAGCAAATGAGGCCCACCTGTGACCAGGTCTTGTTTGAAGAGCATCAGGGATAAAGGACCTAACAAGGTGAGAGCGCGCCACAAAACTTATAGTCCTGTCAGGCAATTAGGCGGACACTCCTGGGACCACCGTATGCCACACACACACAGACACACACGCATAACACATACACACACCCATGCACTTGTGGGTGGGTGAGGCAATTATGCCACAAATTACAACCTGGCTAATCGTCTCTGAACAAATGTCACGTCTGAGTGAGATCTGGGCTTGGTTAGTTTGTAAGCTGCCTTCTTCTGCCGCTTTCTCTTGGGTCTCGCTGAATTTATTGATAAGGCCGCGTATTGAGAGTTGTATATCAGATGTGGCCTCACAGACATAAAATAGTTAAAGCGAGGAAAATTAACAACAAGGCCAATAAGAGAAATTATCTCAGATGTAGCCTATTGTGTAAAAATCTTACATGACCACACAGAATAAACAATGAAATCGACTTGTTGTTTTTTGCAAATTCTCCCCACAGAATCGTGACTGATTGCGCCTTTGCTTTCTCCGATTCATTATAAATACACTGCTGTGATATTTATTTTTCATCACATTGCATTAGCATTACTATATGCAATAGTGCGGTTTCTATTGTAATACTAACTTGGCTCACAGAATCACAGCGGCTCATTGGATTACCATAGATTGCACCATAGATTGCATGGCCATTTCATTCAGCTAAATACAGTGGCTTGTGTGGCCTGCGAGGACGCTTTCACAACACTTAAGACTTCTCGTTCGCCCAGTGGGATCCTGGCCAGGCCATAAATCAGAGTCTGAAATGACCCTTCTAACCCTGGCCACATTAACACATGCACTGGTCATTTAGAAGCGTTCTTCGATAGACTCCTATACCTTGTGCTTCGCTGAGGGCCCAGGAGGGAGAGGAGAGGTGAGAAAATATTTTCACTCCACATCCAAGGAGCTTTGGCTTGGACATCAATAAAAGACGTTTTAACCCATGCCAGAATGCTGATTGCCTGTCGGTGTGTGGTGAGGCCATAAAAAACCTGACTTGTCATTAGTGCATTTCGCTTGATTGTGTTCACTGTGTTTTCAGGTTGCATCTGTTGGCTGATCATCAAAATGACCATTATGTACTCTAATTCCCTGACCCTGTTTTTATTTCCCCAAAGAGTCATAATGTAGAGCAGCAGACATCTGCGGAAAGCAGACCTGAAATACGACTTTTATTTGTCTGTCGCCTCTCATACAGATTGGGTAAGACCAGCGGTGTGTGTTTGTGTGCGTGTGCGCACGGCTACATGCGTGTGTGTGTGTTTGTGTGAGAGAGCGCGAGCATGCACATGCATCACCCGTTGGTAGACAATTTATGTCAGCGCAAGAGATAGAATATATTTCCCAGGCAATGCATTGACTTCATAAAAGAAACACATTACTTTCAGAGTTAGTCTGTTGTCTCTTTTCTTGGATACTTTAATGCTTTTACATACTGTTTCTACTACAGCGAAACCAAAAGTTAAGAAACAATAAACACAAGAAATTGAGTGCCCACGCAATCATAAAGTAGCTCCTTTATGTTTACTGTTATGAAGGCAATTAAGCACAATTTCTCTCCTAAAAAGATAAGCTTAATTTTCATAGTCCACAGCAGTGGCAGTGCTATAGCATCCATTACATTTGAGTTGGTTAAGATTCTCCATGAGCACAGTGCAAATTGGTCCTTGGTGAAAAGGAGAGCAATTAAGACAAGGCCCCTCTCTCTCTCTTTTACTTCTTAAATATCTACAGAAGTTTGTGCTGGTGTTTTGGCACGCACAGAGACAAAAGGAGGTTGTTTAATTGTTTTTTAATGGGATATCAAGTCGTCGCTGCCATTAGATGTTGGCAATGGAGGGCAAAGGGGGATAGAGAGAAAGAATGAACTGCAATTAGGTTTGATTAAAGCTATCCTTCTCAATAATCAGCTGTTCTGACAGGACAGGGGGACCCTGGTGGCCGCTGAGATGGAGGAAGGTGTTGAGTGATATTAAGGCCAATGAAGGGGATATTAACATGGCTAATTAAAGCTCTTCCAAAGCCGGGAGAGGAGGCTCTCAGTGGACCGCACTGGATGAAATAATCGGCCAAGGCAGCTATCAGTTGGAGGAGAGAGAGAGCGAGAGGGAGTGCGGGAAGGGGTGGGGTGTAGTCCATCTGAGAGAAGGGGGGAGTAGAGGGAGGGATAGTGGGAGGCGTAAAGGAAAACTATGAAGTGTGAAGAAAGACAAAGAGGAAGACATCGACAGGCATATAGAGAAAGACTTCCAGGGCAGGCAAGGAAGCTCATTTTGACATCAACCTTCTCTGTCTGCATGCCCGAAGTCTGCCAGTATAACTAAGACCTGACATCAGCTTTTATCTCCGACAGCTAGTCATACAGGTCCACAAATCAACGTTAAAACAATCCTGCTCATGCCTTGGTCTAAGGCAATTAATACGATTCTCCTGTAGTACCTCCATGCTCGCCCACTGCCGAAGCTACTAATCATGCCATAATGATTTCTCTCCCTCTGGTCAAAGGGGAAATAGATTGTCTCTTTAGTAATGCAGCAGGCTCTGCGCCTTCCACTCCCTGGCTTCACAGACTCGGTAATTGAGGAGAAAAAGGCCGACTTTGGCACTTTGACTGATTTGAGGGCTGCTAGACCCTCTTATCTTTACTCTGATCATTTTAGGCTGACACTCAAAGGAAGACCCATCGCCCTAATTCTAGCTCACCCTCTCCCATCATCAAACAGAGGCGGAATAGGAGGAAAAAAAAAAAAAAGAAGAAGAAGAAGAGAGGGGAAAAAACAAACAGGCGAGGTGTAGAAGGCCTTCTCTCATTTAAATGGCCAACTTAATTGCCGGGTTGATGTCACTCATGCATAAATGTCCATCCCTTTGATTTGAGTGAAGAGGGCAAATAAGGATAATGTTGTATTATTAAGAAGGCTCTATCGACGGTGGAGGCTAGCTGTCCTGTCAATTTCATTCATTTTTTCATCCATTCCTTTCTCAGATTTTTATTATTTTTAATGACTTGTTAAAAAATTAAAAGTTAAGCCTGAGCTATTTGAATTTTTTTTTTCCCCCCTCTCACCGATCCGATTTCTTAAAGTACTGACTTTGGAGTTTTTTTCTTTTTTGTTCTTCAATAATACACCTTGTTCTTATTGTTCAAAAGAGCTTCCCCATATTTACTTAGGCTGTTACACAATACACTGACAGATGGCCACAGTATCTGTAAGAGTCAGGTATTGACAACTCTAAGCTCCTGATTGGTGCCCCGGCACTAATGACTAGTATGCAGTGTCCACAGCCGGCAGCCATGACAGTGAGGTCATCCGTTGCGGGGCGGTGAGTATCGATCACCACCCAGCTCCAGCCCATCAGGCCCCAGCTGCCTCCCAGACTCAATGGGCCCCTGTTACAGGAGCCCTGTAAGAAACGGCTCCCAACACCAGACTACAATCTGCTGACACCAGATCTCTACGCTGAGATAGTAGTACACGGGTCAATAGCGTATCGGATTTCCAAAACGCCAGGGTCTTAATGTCAAGCCTCCTGCCTTCCCTACCTACTGCTCCAGTTATTAGGCACTTCACTGAACTGCATTCAGATCCCTGTTGTGACAAGGCGGAGCAGGTAAAACGAGAAATAGAGACACTTATAGATCTTAATCTTCCCGAACACTTATTTATGCAACTGAGCGGGCTCGGATATGTATGCCGGTTAAGTCCCTGGGAGGCCGAACTGAGCCGCGTGGCCGTTTCTGTCGTATTCTGGTTTGCCACTGTCTTCTCTCGTCAAGCGGAGCTGTTTTTCTCGCCTTAGCTGAAGTAAACCACAGCACATTAACAATATTTGCTCTACCCCTGTACAAGCGCCAAGGGACCAGACCCACAGATCCTATCACTTCTTTATCAGGGAACAAGTGCCTCACTATCCAACCTTATTGGGTTTGGAAGATTAACCCCTTCCACTCACGCGCTCTGCCCGTCTCCTCCGAGAGCAGCAAGGCAGATGTCACCGTGATTATTATTGTTCGACATCAAATATCCCAACTACATGTCTCGGAGAATTTATTGGGTATTTCCAAGGCCTTTTTTGTTTTTATTTCTTTATTTTCTCCGCCGCTATTGTCAGTTCATTCCGTTGTTTCATATTTCATATTTTTGTTAGTGGTATATGTGTGTTGCGAGGGTGTCACAAATAATTTATGTGCTTCCTCTGCAACGTAAGATGTAGCTGTGTCTCTCCATTCATCCCTCTTTACCCTCTCCTCCACCATCCCCCTTTCTCTCTAATGGGCAGAGTGGCATTGACATTATTTCACTTGAGGATCCCTCACTCTGTCAATCCCTCTTCATTTACTCCATGGCTACAGGACTCATTATGGTATCTCTTCCTCCTTCTCCCTCTCTCGCACTCTCACTCATTCTCCTCACCTCCTGTCTCGCTCGCTCTCCAAGCTTTCTCTCCCTCCCTCCCTCTCTCTCTCTCTCTCTCTCTGGACACTGTTAGTTTCTTACTTAAGAGAATCGCTCGTCTTCACAAATGGTTTCACGTCAAACCCACTCCTAGCTAGCCCCCACTGATTCCCTTCAGGC